AAAACTGGGTAAGGGGAGGGGAGGGAGAGGAATAGAGTCAAAGCATCTGTTCATGCCTCCCCCGGTGTGCTGGGTCATAGTCCTGAGACCAAGTCTTAGGCAGAGTGATGTGGGGGCACATGAGGTGCATTCATACCAGACGAGAAACACAAAAACCTCTTTTACAAGGTCGTCCATGCTCTTTAACTTTCTCCTGGGCATATGCAGACAGGTGGAGAACTTAGAGCGGCATCACTGGAAGGAACTGAATTATCACTTTGGTTGGGGTGGAGAAGGAATTATCAGAAAAACATAGAAATAGATACTGCTTGATTATAATATTCAGGTGGGGGCCATTGTCCAAAGGTCTTTTGTATTTACACTTCAAGGATCTTATTTTTTTTAAAAATTGAGACCTAGGATAATACCAGAAATTTAAAATATCCTTGGAAAACAACAAATGTTATATGATGGAATAAAAATTATGCACCATTTGGAGCATATTGTACCAGTTAATTATCTTTAGTAAGAAAATGGTAAAGACTCTTACTTTGGGCTACAGAGAGATACTTTCTATAGCTCTGTTTCTGTAGATTTGCTTCCATATTCTAAGACATTCTTTCCTCTAGGATGGCATATCATTGAAACAGGGCCACCGTTCTTACATTTGATTAATATTGTCAAGGACTTTCTCCATAGAGGAGAAATTAGACAGAGGGTCCTCCTTCAGGACGCTCAGATCAGCAAGGGGCTGGCTGATAAAAGCAATCAAAGGATGGGCGGGGTATTCATGCCAGTCCACTGGAGGTTGAAGTTTTTGGCTTGGACCCAGTAGGGAGAGCTTTTTGTCTCCACCAAAAGAAAAGAAACTTCAAGGATTCCTCCCATCGCCACGTGGGAGCGGGACACCACAGCTGGTAGGAAACTGGAGAGCCTGAAAGAAGCCCAGACAAAGAGGAAAACCGTACCTGGGCTAATAAATAACATGCAACAGGCACGTTACAGGCAATTTTAGATGAATAACTTTAATGAGGAGACTACTTTGCAAAATTTGAACAGCATGGATTTTTCACTTTGGGAACTACAGGCCCATTAACATGTGAATTCCAGAAGGATAAGGACCATGTTCTTATCTACTGCTCTATTTCAGCCACCAAGGCCTAAGAAATAGAGGACACTCTTAGTTTCAAATACATGACTATTATCCTTGCTGACCACTGGCATATCCTTTCTCTTAATAAATTTGGCATTAAGTGACACAGAGGTGGACAACAGAGTCAGACTGCCTGGGCTCAAATCCTGGCTGAGCCATTTGCTGCCAACTATGTAATTTTGGACAAGGTACTTGTCTCTATTCACTTAACTAGTGAACAGGGATAAAAATAGTACCTACTGATATTTATCATGAGAATGAATTAAAGGCACTAAGATACCTGAGGCACTAGGAATTGTGCCTGACATATAGTGAGCAATCCAGAGTATGCTGTTATTGTTGCTGGTTTTCAAGCTCTCTCGCTCTCTTTTGGAAGCAGCAGAGTATCTCCTGACTGGTCCACATGTCATGATTGTGCTGCTCAGAAAATGTTTCCAGGCCTGCAGGAATGATGAGGCCTTTAATGGTTTACCCCCAAGCTCCTGCCTTTAAAATCAAAGAACACATTTCCCATCCCTGAGCGTGAAGAGCAGACCCCCCCCCCACCCCAGTGCTTCAGGCTCTCTCCAGCCTCTTTCCCTAACCTTACTTTTTGTACTGTAGGTTGTCAATTGACAACAAATCAGAATTCTCAGAGAATGCTCAGGGGGACATCCCAGGGACCTTGCTCACCTGAGTAAAGCCTTTGTTTTGTTTTGTTTTAGCTTAACTAAAGAATTTTTCAATGAAAATTGATTTAGGTCCTTTTTTATTTTGAAACTTAGCACCAAATAAAAATTTGATTAACTGAACAATTGTACCAAATTTTCTGCACCACCCATATGACATTATTTAATACTTAACAGTTATAGAGGCTGGGGGTGTAGCTCAGTAGTAGAACTCCTGCATAGCATGTTCCCTGGGTTTAATTCTCAGCATCATGAATAAGTAAACAAATACTTACATTTATGAGACTAATAAAAGTTACCTCTGATGATCCAGTAAAAATGATGCAAATATGTCAACAAGATTAAACCAAGTAACATTTATGTTTCCCTGGAAAAAGAGTGAGAATGAAGAGACCAAAAAAAAAAAAATCAAGAGGAAAATTATTTAGATTGGTACAATAAAAGTTAACCATTACAAACAAGCCCTTTAAAAGAACAGCTGCACTGGAAGTTGTCTCTTCTGCAAGCCATAGGAGACAGTGCCACCTACTGGCCTTAGAATTTGCTCAGCAGCTAGGAGGGGCCAGAGGTCATTGGTCAGAGCCAAAGGCGTCCAAAAGACTTACCTCTCCAGTGGTTTTGGTGTTGATGCCACCTGGATGTCTAATCACCTTCACAGGAGGCTTAGAGCTCACAAGACTTCTTATACATAACAGACTTGATGTCTAACTATCAAGGGCAGGCATGGACCGTGATGTGAGTTGGGCTTGACCCTGAAGAGCCAAACCGCTAACTAACACAGTGGTTCTCCAGTTCCCCTGCACATTAGAACCCCTGGGAGTTTAAGTAAACCCTATTCTCAGACCCACCAAACCCTTGGAATACTTGGGGATGGGCCCCAGGCATTAGTGATTGATAGACCTCCCCAGGTGATTTCAGTGTGCTTTGAGCCTGGCTGCTCTCAGGTTAGCAGCCCGTTCCCAGCCGGCTTCCCACAGCTGACCTCAGAAAACCTTCAGCCTAATGCAGAGTTCCAGCAGAAGGACGGACATGGAGGTGTGCCTGTCCTCTCCTAGATCTGTCTTAGGACTGTGTCAAGAGGACACCTCCTCCAAGGTTGAAGTCCCTACATGATAGTTCACCAACATACACACACTTAAAAAAACACAGCTTTATTAAGGTATAATCGACCAACTGTAGATTATATATCTATAATATATAATGTATATACATTATATATTATATATATATCATACATATATAAATGTACAGTCTGACAAGTTTGGACATGGGTAAACATGTAAACCATAGCCGCAATCAAACTAATGAACATTTTCTTCAAGATTGAGCTGGAGCCATGCACAGTGACATGTGCCTATAATCCCAGCGACTCGGAAGGCTGAACCAGAGGATGGCAAGTTCAAGGCCGGCCTCAGCAACCTAGCAAGGCCCTATGTCACTTAGTGAGACCCTGTCTCAAAATAAAAAAATAAAAAGTGCTGGGGATGTGGCTCAGTAGTAAAGGACCCTTGGATTCAATCCCCAATACCAAAACAAACAAAAAAACCAAAGAGTGAGCTGGAAGTGTCCTGTCCCATCCATGCTCCTGTTGCATGGTTAACACTCCTTCTGTGCCAGGCATTGTGCCAGTTGAGTAGGAAACAGCCTGACTGAACATAACCTCCCCTGGGGGAACTGACTACAAGATGACACAGTGGGACCCAAGAGGAGGGGGAGAGGGAAGGGTGAGGAAAAGCTGGCCAGAGGAGATGGAAGGTATTTGTCTGGTGCTGTGGTTTAAATGTTTGGTCCCCCCTTGTGGTATAAACCTGATATAAGTCAACTTGAAAGGAGAAAAGTTGTATTTGGCTCAGAGTTTCAGAGGTTCCTGTCCATGGTCACATGGCCCTGTTGCTGTGGGCTCTTGGCAGCACCACATATGGCAGGAGCATGTAGTAAAACAAACTGCTCACTTCAGGAGCCAAGCAGCAATGAGAGGAGGGGTTAGGGTCCCCATATCCCCTTCAAGGGCAATGACCTAACTTCCTCTAACTTTCCTCGTAAAGTTCCACCAACTCTCAATATTGCCCTGGGCTGGTGACCGAACTTTTAACACAGGGGCCTTCGGGTGATATTTCCAATCCAAACTACAGTACCCCATTCATGTATGCAATCCTAATGTCCAATATAATGGCATTAGAAAGTGGGACCTTTGGGGTGATTAAGTCTTGAGGATGGAGTCCAGAGTGGGAATCATGCCCTTACAAGACAGGCCCGAGATATCCCTTGCCCCAGTGGGTGAGGTCACCATAAGAAGATGGCCATCCATGAAAGGAGTAGGTCCTCACCAGACACCAGATCTGATGGCACCTGGATATGGGACTTCCAGCCTCCAGAACCGTGAGAAAGAAATTTTTAACCATTTGAAAGCTGCCAGTCTTTGGTAGTTTATTATGGCAGTCTAAACAGAAGACCTCAGGCAACTGAAGGAAAGCGGAGCTCCAGGAGGAGGGAAATCATGAGCATAGCAGTGGAGGTAAGCAGGGCAGGTGTGTTTAAGAAACAGCAGGCGGGCAGAAAGCTAGCACTTGTGGGGACGGCTGGTGAGCAATGCCAGTGGGCCAGAGCCACATGCCCTGGGGTCTGGCTGATGCTATGAGCTGCGGCTGTCAGTGGAGGATGCCGGAGGCCCTGGGCGAGGGAGCACCCTGACCCGGTCTGCATCTTAGGCAATTCACTCTGGAAGTCCTCCAAGGTTATAAGACAACCAATTTTTGCAAAGGTACCAGCGAGCAGAAATAAATGCATTTTAGGCCATATTATATAGGAATCAAAAGCAACCAGGAATGAAAATCCCACACTCCAGGAGAGTTTCTCTTCCTCCAAACCACCTACCAGAGTTGAGGCCTTATTCTAATTATATCCACTGATGCCACGTGCTCACTCGTAAATCACTCCCTGTGATTTGGGCCAACATCTGGAATGGGGAGCAGGATCGGACCCACTCAAAACACACGGCTGCTTTGCCAAGGTGGAGGAGTGGGTTACATGGGTGGCATCCAAAAATGTCTAAAACTTAGTAAATATCATGTTGGGTAATTCAACAGCCCAATGGGGATAGCAGATGTCAACCACTCCAGTTTGTCATGTGTCATATTTGCTATTTAAAATGAGACTCACCATGTGTATCACAAAAGCCCCAAATAAGGGAAAGGACACCATTTACCAAAGATATTTTATTGCGTTACCTTTCATAATTAACAGTCAAGAACAAATAATAATAAAAAATAAAAACATTTTGCAAGGGGACTAGACATCAGACATACACAAGAGCTCTTCCAACATTAAAAAGCCTGCTGAACATGCTTGCCCTTATTCTTGGTGGCCACAACTAAGCATCTGTCACCAGGACAGGCTGTGGCCCCTGTCCCCAGGGTGCCCCAAGCTGGCATCCCATGGTGGATATTTCTAGCCTAAGCCTTCTAATTAACATCAAAAGCTTCCTGGATTCACAAGCTGATGAAGCTGCAGGATGTGTCTTTCCTGTCTTGTTGGAGTGAGACCAGATCTCAGCTCCTGGCAGTTCAAGGGTGACCAGGAGGGATAGAAGCACTGTCCCCATTCTCACCTGTCAGAGGTGAACCTTAAAGGATGGCAGGTTTTCCCCTCCCCTAGCAACGCCAAAGCTGAGGAGTCAGGAAGAGGGAGGGGGTCACGCCTCTGTGGACTCAAGAGCAACATTCTCCCAGGAATGAGTAATGGCAGGAGCTTTCCTCTAGATGGGAAATGGTTCTTGTTGCCCTACCTCGAATAAAACAAAACAACAAAACCCACAGATCATTGTCTTAGTGTGTTGTACGGATTGGAGAAAATCATCTTACAAGTGCTAACAGCTGTTCTAGGTGCATTTAGTTTAATTTCACACTTCTCAGTGAGCGGTATTCCAGCTTCAGGGAGGCAGTGGGATGTCAGGAGAGGGAGGCTGGACCTGCAGCGGGCCTCACTTCTTTATGTCTTTCCAAACACTCAAGTTAATGGCATGAACATTGGGCCAAGAGCCATGGAAGGTTCCAAATTTTTATCATTCTAGACAGAAAAAGAATGAAATCAAACTCTAAGAAACATTCAATAAAAGCATACAAGAAAAATTAGATTCATAAATTATTTACATGATTTGAGATCGTCAGCCTTTCTCCTATTCTTTGTGTTTGTTTGTTGTTTTCAAGTTTTGTTTTATTTTGTTGTTGTTTTGTTTTGTTGTTGTTTTTGCAGTGCCGGGGGTGGGACCCAGGTGCTCTACCACTGAGCCACATCCCAGCCCTCTCTTTGTTCTTTTAGTCACTTCTTCCCTTGCTCTGCTTCCATTTCCTATCTTTCCTGGTCCCTTTCTTCTCTTACTCATTGCCCTTTCTTGCATCTCAGTCCCCTTGTCACTGTTTAGCCCAGAGTCTCCTCTCCCAAGTTTCCCTCTTTTTAACATTTCATTCAGCTCACGCTAAGCGGTGCACCTATGATTATCCAATCCAAATCTCATGAGTACAGCTATTCTTTTTGAGGGAAATAAGATACCGTCTGCCTCACTGGCCTTATCTCTTTTGAAACAAGTTGAGTTGCCAGGGGTGGTGATGTAAGCCTGTAATCCAAGTGACTGAGAGGCTGAGGCAGGAGGATCATAAATTCAAGGCTAGCCTCAGCAACTTAGGGAAACCCTGTCTCAAAATCAAAAATAAAAAGGGCTGGAATGTAGCTCAGGGGTAAGGCACCCTTGGACTCAAACCCCAGTACCAAAAAAAGAAGGAGGAGGAGGAAGGAAGGAAGGAGGAAGAGGAAGAGAAGGAGGAAGAAAGGAGGAAGGAGAAGGAGAAGAAAAAGAAGAAAGAAGGAAGGGAGGAAGGGAGGGAGGGAGGGAGGGATGGAGGGAAGGAGGAAGAGAAAGAAAATAAAGGACTGAGTTGCCTCAAGGTCTGCAGGAGGAGAGACTGGCAAGGATGGAGCAGAACTACCCTTATATCCAACAGCCCTTTTCTAGGCCTGACCCAGGACCCAGGTGCTTCACAGCTGGGAGTTGGCATCACAACCACTGGAATCAGAGCCGTTGAAGTTGATAATTAAAGGGGCCTTAAGGACATCTAAATTAAGTGGTTCTTTTTACATGTGAGGAAATAGAAGGCCTGAGAAGTTAGTTGTGGGTCGGAAGGCTCAGGGACAAGCCAGTGGTGGCTATTTACAAGAGCAGGGGGCTTCCTCCTCCATCTTTCTCTTTTGATTAAAAATGAAAACAAAACAAAAGCCCACGGAGCAGCCAGCCATGATTTGAGCAGGTTGCAGCCCTAGATTGAGGGGCCCTTATTCTGCCCTGGGGTGTTTCATTCTTTTTTTTTAGTATTTTTTTTAGTTGTAGATGAACACAATATCTTCACTTTTATTTATTTATTTTTATGTGGTGCTAGGGATCAAACCCAGGGCCTCATGCATGAGGGGCAAGCGCTCTGCCACTGAGCCACAACCCCAGCCCCTAGGGTGTCTCAATCTGCAAAGCCAAAAGCCAAGCAGAAGGCCCTGGACTCACCTAGTAATTGGGGCGAGGCTCTCTTCTTTGGTTTGCGTAGGGGTTTTGCAACTGGAGGTCTTTGGAAGCCGTCGTTCTGACTTTGGGGAAGATGTTTCCATCAGCTCCGAGGTTGCTGAAGCCTGTCGACTGCAGTCTCAGATTTTGAAAGTCATTGTCAATCAAGTTCTCTTCCTCAATATCACTCTTTTTGTTCTTTGACCTGTAATCAATAACAGGAATTAGGATCTAACAATGGCAGAGAGTTCCTCAAAGTAAATATTGATGTTCTTTCTTTAAAAATGTTCTTTAATTTTTGAAATGATTTTAAATTTACACCATAAGTTATAAAAAGATATACGTTACAGAATTCTCATGTACCCATCACCTAGATTTCCCAATTGTTAACCCTTCTGAATCCATGAAGAATAGGTTGCAGACCTGATGTCCCATCACTTGTAATAAATATTTTATTATTTCATTCAATGTAGATCCCCTACATTTAAGGACAGTCCCCTCATAAGTTCCAGGGCATGAATATCAGCTGACCCAATGTTACCATCTAATTTCATTAGCTTTCTTTTAAATTTCGTCAATAATTTCAGTTTTGTTTTGTTTTGTTTTTTTGGACACTGGAGATTGAACCCTGGGGCACTTAGCCACTAAGCCACATCCCCAGCCTCTTTTTTATTTTTAATTTTGAGACTCACTAAGTTGCTTAGGGCCTTGCTAAGTTGCTGAAGCTGGCTTTGAACTTGCCATCCTCTTGCCTTAGCCTCTTGAGCTGCTGGCATGAAAAGTGTGTGCCACCACACCGAGCAGAATATCAATAGTCGTAAGCATACTTTTCAATTATTTATGGAAATTATATCCAAGCAGATCCAACATCTACAGAAACATCTTGGTGAATAAGATGAGTTCAAGGGGTCAAGGTCTTGAATTGAGAAATAGGGTCTGCTGTGATCTGCTGTGGCCCCCCAAGGTTCTCAAGTATAGGTATTGAAAGTCAAGAGTAAGCACGTGCCATGAGGGAGGCATTGTCCCCAGATAACTCTGATGGTGACCCCTCTTTCCTTCCTGGTCCCCAGGCCTGGTCTTGCTTCTGCAGTGCCCTGGACAGTGGGAGTGGACAGTGCGGACGTGGTCTGTGATGCTCACAGGGTAATCCCAGGTGCCAGTCACCTAAGCCTCGGTCACATTGGGAATGTCCCTCAGCCTGTGATCCTGATGGCCAGCACAGTCCATAGCAGGACACCTGCCATTCAATACTCTCTTGTGTAAAGTGGCTGAGGAAAGGGCTTCCCTTCTCTAGCAATGAAATTAAAAGCTGTGTTTCATTGTCAACAATTATGACTTTGTAGCTGGGTTAAGCAAGCTTGGCTCTGCGGCAGGAAGGAGGACTGAGCTTTGTGGCTCTCACGGGGCCACAAGCTTCCATAACAACTCTTTTTTTTTCTTCTTTTCTTTCTTTCCCCAGTACTGGGGATTGAGCCCAGAGACACTTTACCACTGAGTTACATCACCAGCCCTTTTAATTAAAATTTTTTGTTTTTTTAATTTCGAGATAGGGTCTTGCTAAGCTGCTGAGGCTGTCCTCAAACTTGTGATCCTCCTGCCTCAGCTTCCTGAATCACTGGGGTCCAAGACAATCGATCAATCCTCCTAAGAATAACCTTGCTCCAGACCCAGAAATGTTCTGTCTCTCTCTCTCTGGAAAAGGGAATATTGGAGACCAGGGGAATGAATGCTCACACAGCAAGTTCCCAGCTTTCATTCCTTATTACTGAGTCTCTGGGAAGAGATAACATCAAAATGGAATACAAGGAAAAAGAAGAAATAAAGTATTTTAGGAACCTAAAATCCATTGATCCTCTCCAATTATAGTGGGAAAACATCTATTTTCCAAAATATAAGGTATGAGCTAAATGTTAGAAAAAAAGTAGCTTTTTTTTTTTTTTTTTTTTTTTTTTTTTTTTAGCAAAGTGGATCCCACTTGGCACATGTCAAATAGAAAAGAGATAATAGCAATCTCTCTCTGCTGACAGGAGGAACTTCCACATACCTAAATATTTGTTGAAAAAAATGAATGGACCCTACTCCACCTCCCTAAGGCACCAAGCTGAGAAACAGCCACACAGATATGGGCTTCTTCCTCTTTAACCCCAGCGGGTTCTGTGAAGGCTCATTTTAGGCCATTTGCAGCAAGGTCCTGGGCAGGGGAGTGACTTGGTAAAAATTGTATTTGACAGCATCAATGGAGTTAAAAAACTGTCCACAGAATTCTTAATGACAGGAAAATGACTGCTATGTCCTCAACCAAAAATAAACATTAACAGAAATTTTTAAAAACACAAAGGATGCAACACTATGTATATAACATCTTTCATGGAGCATCTGGAAGGATATATACTGAAATGTGAGTTGCCTTAGGATAGTGGGTTCTGTGGGTGACTTTTTACTCCACTCTTTTCCACATCTGTTTTTACGGTTTTCTTTCATGATCATGAAGAAAAATAAGGAAAGAAAAAATAAAGCGGCATCAGAGAGGCCTCCCCTCATATGTCCCCTCCCCTGCCCAGGAGAGGCCGGTGTGTTTAGAAACCAGAGTGTCCACAGGAAGGGGAAATTCCATACCTTGTGAAGAAGACCAATGAAATCAATAAGGCGAGAATGAGGACGGCAGCGATGGTGCCCACAATAGTGAGGATCAGCTGAAACTCTGAAAGGAGGAAGAATAGAGTAGGAACCGGCTTCAATAATCCACTCCCAGTGTCTATTGCACAGGTCCATGTGCTCCCAGGACTCCTGGTTACGAGGGTGATCACACTCTGGTCTCTGACCCCTCTAGTGCCAGGGTGGGTAGGTGGCTCATCTCCTTTAGCAGCCCTCCTCTAACCCACTAACCATGTCTTCAGGACTCAGCCAGAACAGGCATCCTTGCCAGACTCAAGACATAAATACAAAGGAGGCTGATAGCGACGGGGTCTTCCGGGGCTTTGTGGGAAGTAGGGTCTCAACCTTTCTTCCCTACCTTGCTTCCTTTGCCTGCCCTCCAGCCCTCCCCTTACTCATAAGCTAGGGACTTCCTGACATTTGGAGTTAAATTTGTCATTCTGGATGCAAGAGATAATATCTTGACAGCATCATCTGAGGAAAGAGTCTGGAAGTAGTGTCATGGATACTGAAGTGTGGCTATAGGGTGCCCTGTGAGTGCAGCCTACATACCAGATTCCAAACACTTAGCATGAAAAGAAAGTTAATACTAATATTCCTATCTGATAACATTTTGAGATGATAAATGGAATTTTATTGGGTTAAATAGAATATGTCAGTAAAATCAAATTCACCTGTTTCTTCTTACTTTTAAAATTTTGCTTGAAACTTTTAAAATTTATAATGAAATTTGCGACTCACATTATCTTTCTTTTTTGTCTTTGTGGTACAAGGGATGAAACCCAGGAGTGCTCTCCCACTGAGCTACATCCCCAGCCCTTTTTATTTTTGATTCTGAGTCAGGGTCTTGCTAAGTTGCTGAGGCTGTCCCCAAACTTGTGTTCTTCCTGCCTCAGCCTCCCGAGTCACTGGATTACAGGTGTGTGCCAAGTGCCCAGCTTCACATTCTCTCTCTATTGGACAGTACTGTCACTGTATCTTCCTGCCATATCATTGCCACAAATCCACTGCAACCTGGGCCCACAGGGCCATAAACCACAAAATCAGGAAGAGACCAGAAAGGTCATTTGGTCCAAATGCCTCATTTGATGGATGTGGAAATTAAAAGCCCAGAAGGAAGAAATGACATCAAGTCTGTCCTTGCAACGAAGTACAGTGGAAACTGAGAGCGTCTCTCCGCACTATTTCTGTGGCTGGTGGTGAGCTGATGGGCATATTTCCCGCACCTTGACCATTGAGCTTTGGTTCATTATGTACATTTAAAAATTACTTAAAATTTCAAGTTAGTATTGTCCCAATGTGGTGGCAGTAAAGCATAGAAGGAAATGAAGCAATCGAATTTTTCTTAACACAACCCACACCAGTAAATAATTCTGAGATGAAAATATTTGAACATTTAAATGTCTGGTGCCCAGGTCTGCTCTCCTATAGCCAGCAGTTTTGATATACATTTTTATCTATTCTAGTAGCAAAAACTTCATATTTAAGCTCATGTAGGAATCAATATAATAACTTAGGATGCCCTTCTCCGGGTTGGAGTAAGTTCAGAGGTACCAGCCCAACCCTTGGTCTGAGTATTATTATTATTATTATTTTAGTTCTATTATTTTTTTATTTTTTAATATTTATTTTTCAGTTTTCGGTGGACACAACATCTTTATTTTATTGTATGTGGTGCTGAGGATCGAACCCAGCGCCCCGCGCATGCCAGGCGAGCGCATTACCGCTTGAGCCACATCCCCAGCCCTAGTTCTATTATTTTTAATAGTAGAGGTGCTGCTGTCCATAAGGGTGAACATGGGATGCATAACCCAGAAGATAAACTGCAAGCAGATTTTTCTCTTTGTTTTTTTTTTTTTAATTTTTTTATTGTGGGTAGTTCAAAACATTACAAATTTCTTGACATATCATATTCCACACTTTGATTAAAGTGGGTTATGAACTCCCACCTTCACCCCATACACAGATTGCAGAATCACATCAGTTACACATCCATTGATTTACAAATTGCCATACTAGTGTCTGTTGTGCTCCGCTGCCTTTCCCATCCTCCACCCTCCCCCCTCCCCACCTCTCCCCTCCCCTCCCCTCCTCTCTCTCTACCTCCTCCACTGTATAACCCTGAGGGTCTCCTTCCATTACCATGCAATTTCCCTTCTCTCTCCCTTTCCCTCCCACCTCTCATCCCTGTTAAATGTTAATCTTCTTCTCCTGCTCTTCGTCCCTACTCTGTTCTTAGTTACTCTCCTTATATCAAAGACATTTGGCATTTGTTTTTAGGGATTGGCTAGCTTCACTTAGCATAATCTGCTCTAATGCCATCCATTTCCCTGTAAATTCTATGATTTTGTCATTTTTTAATGCAGAGTAATACTCCATTGTGTATAAATGCCACATTTTTTTTATCCATTCGTCTATTGAAGGGCATCTAGGTTGGTTCCACAGTCTTGCTATTGTGAACTGTGCTGCTATGAACATCGATGTAGCAGTGTCCCTGTAGCATGCTCTTTTTAGGTCTTTAGGGAATAGACCAAGAAGGGGAATAGCTGGGTCAAATGGTGGCTCCATTCCCAGCTTTCCAAGAAATCTCCATACTGCTTTCCAAATTGGCTGCACCAATCTGCAGTCCCACCAGCAATGTACAAGTGTACCCTTTTCCCCACATGCTCGCCAGCACTTGTTGTTGTTTGACTTCATAATGGCTGCCAATCTTACTGGAGTGAGATGGTATCTTAGGGTGGTTTTGATTTGCATTTCTCTGACAGCTAGAGATGGTGGGCATTTTTTCATGTACTTGTTGATTGACTGTATGTCCTCCTCTGAGAAGTGTCTGTTCAGGTCCTTGGCCCATTTGTTGATTGGGTTGTTTGTTCTCTTATTGTCTAATTTTTGGAGTTCTTTGTATACTCTGGATATTAGGGCTCTATCTGAAGTGTGAGGAGTAAAGATTTGTTCCCAGGGTGTAGGCTCCCTATTTACCTCTCTTATTGTTTCTTTTGCTGAGAAAAAACTTTTTAGTTTGAGTAAGTCCCATTTGTTGATTCTAGTTATTAACTTTTGTGCTATGGGTGTCCTATTGAGGAATTTGGAGCCCGACCCCACCGACTGTAGATCGTAGCCAACTTTTTCTTCTATCAGACGGCGCGTCTCTGATTTGATATCAAGCTCCTTGATCCATTTTGAATTCACTTTTGTGCATGGCGAGAGAAAGGGATTCAGTTTCATTTTGTTGCATATGGATTTCCAGTTTTCCCAGCACCATTTGTTGAAGATGCTATCCTTCCTCCATTGCATGCTTTTAGCCCCTTTATCAAATATAAGATAGTTGTAGTTTTGTGGATTGGTTTCTGTGTCCTCTATTCTGTACCATTGGTCCGCCCACCTGTTTTGGTACCAGTACCATGCTGTTTTTGTTACTATTGCTCTGTAGTATAGTTTGAAGTCTGGTATCGCTATACCACCTGATTCACACTTCTTGCTTAGCATTGTTTTTGCTATTCTGGGTCTTTTATTTTTCCATATGAATTTCATGATTGCTTTCTCTATTTCTACAAGAAATGCCGTTGGGATTTTGATTGGCATTGCATTAAACCTATAGAGAACTTTTGGTAATATCGCCATTTTGATGATGTTAGTTCTGCCTATCCATGAACAGGGTATATTTTTCCATCTTCTAAGATCTTCTTCTATTTCTCTCTTTAGGGTTCTGTAGTTTTCATTGTATAAGTCTTTCACCTCTTTTGTTAGGTTGATTCCCAAGTATTTTATTTTTTTTGAAGATATTGTGAATGGAGTGGTTGTCCTCATTTCCATTTCAGAGGATTTGTCGCTGATATACAGGAATGCCTTTGATTTATGCGTGTTGATTTTAAATCCTGCCACTTTGCTGAATTCATTTATTAGCTCTAATAGTTTCTTTGTAGAGCCTTTTGGGTCTGCTAGGTATAGAATCATATCATCTGCAAATAGTGATAATTAAAGTTCTTCTTTTCCTATTTTTATGCCTTTAATTTCTTTCGTCTGTCTAATTGCTCTGGCCAGTGTTTCGAGAACTATGTTGAAGAGAAGTGGAGAGAGAGGGCATCCCTGTCTTGTTCCAGATTTTAGAGGGAATGCCTTCAGTTTTTCTCCATTCAGAATGATGCTAGCCTGAGGCTTAGCATAGATTGCTTTTACAATATTGAGGTATGTTCCTGTTATCCCTAGTTTTTCTAGAGTTTTGAACATAAAGGGATGCTGTACTTTGTCGAATGCTTTTTCCGCATCTATCGAGATGATCATATGGTTCTTATTTTTAAGTCTATTGATGTGGTGAATAACATTTATTGATTTCCGTATATTGAACCAGCCTTGCATCCCAGGGATGAATCCTACTTGATCATGGTGTACAATTTTTTTGATATGTTTTTGTATCTGATTCGCCAGAATTTTATTGAGGATTTTTGCATCTAGGTTCATTAGAGATATTGGTCTGTAGTTTTATTTCTTTGAAGTGTCTTTGTCTGGTTTAGGTATCAGGGTGATGTTGGCCTCATAGAATGAATTTGGAAGTTCTCCCTCCTTTTCTATTTCCTGAAGTAGCTTGAAAAGTATTGGTATTAGTTCTTCTTTAAAGGTTTTGTAAAATTCTGCTGTATACCCATCCGGACCTGGGCTTTTCTTAGTTGGTAGTCTTTTTATGGTTTCTTCTATTTCCTCAATTGATATTGGTCTGTTTAGGTTTTCTATATCCTCCTGACTCAATCTGGGCTGATCATATGACTTAAGAAATTTATCTATGCCTTCACTATCTTCTAATTTATTGGAGTATAAGGATTCAAAATAGTTTTTGATTATCTTCTGTATTTCTGAAGTGTCTGTTGTGATATTGCCTTTTTCATCCCGTATGCTAGTAATTTGAGTTCTCTCTCTTCTTCTCTTCGCTAGCATCGCTAAGGGTCTGTCGATTTTGTTTATTTTTTCAAAGAACCAACTTTTAGTTTTGTCAATTTTTTCAATTGTTTCTTTTGTTTCGATTTCATTAATTTCAGCTCTGATTTTAATTATTTCTTGCCTTCTACTTCTTTTGCCGTTGTTTTGCTCTTCTTTTTCAAGGATTTTGAGATGAAGTATGAGATCATTTATTTGTTGTTTTTTTCTTTTTTTAAGGAATGAACTCCAAGCAATGAATTTTCCTCTTAGAACTGCTTTCAATGTGTCCCATAGATTCCGATATGTTGTGTCTGTGTTTTCATTTATCTCTAAGAATTTTTTAATTTCCTCCTTGATGTCTTCTATAACCCATTGATCATTCAGTAACCTATTGTTCATTCTCCAAGTGATGTATGCTTTTTGCTTCCTTCTTTTATCATTGATTTTCAGTTTCATTCCATTATGATCAGATAAGATGCATGGTATTATCTCTACTCCTTTATATTGTCTAAGAGTTGCCCTGTGACATAATATATGATCTATTTTTGAGAAGGATCCATGTGCTGCTGAGAAAAAAGTGTAACTGCTTGATGTTGGGTGGTATACTCTATATATGTCAATTCGGTCTAGGTTATTAATAGTGTTATTGAGTTCTATAGTTTCCTTATTCAACTTTTGTTTGGAAGATCTGTCCAGTGGCGAGAGAGGTGTGTTGAAGTCTCCCATGATTATGGTGTGGTGGTCTATTAGACTCTTGAACTTGAGAAGAGTTTGTTTGACGAACATAGCTGCACCATTGTTTGGGGCATAAATATTTATGATTGTTATGTCTTGTTGGTGTATGGTTCCCTTAAGCAGTATGTAGTGTCCCTCTTTATCTCTTTTGATTAACTTTGGCTTGAAATCTATTTTATTTGATATGAGTATGGACATGCCTGCTTGTTTCCGAAGTCCATATGAGTGATATGATTTTTCCCAACCTTTCACCTTCAGCCTATGTATGTCTTTTCCTATCAAATGCGTCTCCTGTAGGCAGCATATTGTTGGGTCTTGTTTTGTGATCCATTCTACTAGCCTGTGTCTCTTAATTGGTGAGTTTAAGCCATTAACATTTAGGGTTATTATTGAGATATGGGTTGTTCTTCCAGCCATATTTGTTTATTTATGTTACTAAACATGGTTTGTTTTCCTCTTTGATTATTCCCCCCCCCTTTACTGTCCTACCTCCCACTGTTGGTTTTCATTGTTATTTTCCATTTCCTCTTCCTGTAATGCTTTGGCGAGGATGTTTTGAAGAGATGGTTTTCTAGCTGCGAATTCTTTAAACTTTTGTTTATCGTGGAAGGTTTTAATTTCATCCTCCATCCTGAAGCTTAATTTCGCTGGATACACAATTCTTGGTTGGAACCCATTTTCTTTCAGTGTTTGAAATATGTTATTCCAGGATCTTCTAGCTTTCAGAGTCTGTGTTGAAAGATCAGCTGTTATCCTGATTGGCTTACCCCTAAATGTAATCTGCTTCCTTTCTCTTGTAGCTTTTAAAATTCTCTCCTTATTCTGTATGTTGGGCATCTTCATTATAATGTGTCTAGGTGTGGATCTCTTATGATTTTGCACATTCGGGGTCCTGTAGGCTTCTAGGATTTGGGATTCTGTCTCATTCTTCAAGTCTGGGAAGTTTTCTTGTATTATTTCATTGAATAGACTGCTCATTCCTTTGGTTTGGAGCTCTGTACCTTCCTGTATCCCAATGACTCTTAAGTTTGGTCTCTTAATGTTATCCCATATTTCTTGGATGTTCTGCTCATGGTTTCTTAACAGTCTTGCTGAGCTGTCTATGTTCTTTTCCAGTTGAAATACTTTGTCTTCATTGTCTGATGTTCTATCTTCTAAGTGTTCTACTCTGCTGGTAGTATTCTCCATTGAGTTTTTAAGTTGGTTTATTGCTTCCTGCATTTCTAGGATTTCTGATTGCTTGTTTTTTATAACCTCTATCTCCCTGTATAGTTGATCCTTTGCTTCCTGGATTTGTTTGCGTAATTCGTTGTCGAAGTGATCTTTCATTGTCTGATTTTGCTGTTTAATGTCTTCCTTGATACTCCAGATCATCTGAAGCATGTATATCCTGAATTCTTTATCTGACATTCCATCTGCTGCAGCTGTTACCTCTTCTAAAGTTGCGTTGACCTGCATTGCTTGTGGTCCTTTCTTTCCTTGTCTTTTCATACTGCTTGCGTATCTTTCCTGCAGGTGCGGGCGGCGGCTCTGCTCTCTCCTTATTCCAATTGGGGTGTCGTGGCTACCACGTCGGCAGGTCACTGGGCCTGTTCTGGGAGCTGGCGGCGGCTCCGTTCTGCCCCTACTCCAATTGGGGTGACGAGTGTACCACGCCGGCAGGCCATCGGGCCTGATCCGCCGGTCGGTTGCAGGTTTGCCTACACTGCAGGCGCGGGCGGCGGCTCTACTCTGCCCTTACTCCAAATGGGGTGACGTGTCTGTCGTACCGGCAGGCCACTGGGCCTGTTCCGCTGGTCGGTCGCAGATCTGCCCACCTTTCGGGCACGGGTGGAGGCTCTGCTCTGCCCCTACTCCAATTGGGGTGTCATGACTACCCCACCTGCAGGACGCTGGGCCTGTTCCTGGCACGGGCGGCGACTCTGCTCTGTCACTACTCCAATTAGGGTGGTGTTTGTACCACGCCGGCAGGATCCTGGGCCTGATCTGCCGGTCTGTTGTAGGTCTGCCTACCTTGGAGGCGCGGGCGGCGGATCTGCCCTGCCCCTCCTACCACGCCTGCGGACCCCTGGGCCTGATCTGCAGGTTGATCACTGGTCTGCTCACCCTGTGGGCACGGGTGGCGGTTCCACTCCCCCCCCACTCCAATTGGGGTCACGTGACCACCACACCGGCAGGGCCTGATCCGGGCGTGGGAGAAGGATCTGCTCTGCCCCTACTCCAGTTGGGGTGACGTGTGTACCACACTGGCAGGCCACTGGGCCTGACCCGCCAGGCTGTCACAGGTCTGTTTACCTTGTAAGCGCGAAGGGCGGCTCTGCCCTGCCCCTCCTACCACGCCCATGTACCACTGGGTCGCGGGTCTGCCCACCTTGCGGGTGCAGGTGGCGGCTCCGCTCCGCCCCCTCTCCAATTGGGGTCACGCGGTCACCACGCTGGCGAGCCGCTGGGCCTGCTCCGGGCGCTGGCGGCGGCCCGGCTCCTCCCCTCTGGCTCGAGGACAAATTGAGGAGACTCGGGTGACTGTGCCTCACCCCCCCTACCAGGAGACCAACTGCTTATGTCACCGCTGGTATTGATGAAGTTCTCTCCTCCGCCGCTTTCTGCTGACATCAGATCTCTGCCATGTTGGTATCCTATGCAAATGGCAGCATTTCGTTCCCCTTGCCGGGCAACCAAAGCAACGGGTGAGTCCTGACCGGCCCTCAGCAGGACCTGGACCGAGACGCAGTTTCCACGGGCTCCTAGCCCCGGTCCAGGGAAGTTCCGGGAGCCGGAACTCGGCTGCCCCGCGCTCGGTGTTCGCTCCGATAAGATCAGGTTCTAAGAAGCACCCAGGCGCTGAACCCTAGCAATCTGTCTGCAAGCCGCAGGTGAATTGCAGCCTGAAATTACCTGTTCTATGGCTGAATGAGCTGCGGTCAGTCGAAAACAGGGAAGGTGACGTCAGTTTCAGATTTTTCTCTTTGAAGGAAGCGGAGACTTTGGAGAATTGGACAGCCTTTCAAATATGGTGTTTATATGTGTGTGTGTTTTCATTGTAGATGGACACAATCTCCTCATTTTATTTATTTATTTATATGTGGTGCTGAGACTCTAACCCACTGCCTCACACATACAAGGCAAGTGCTCTACCACTGAGCCACAACCCCAGCCCCTTAATGTTTATTTCTTGGGTTTGTAATAACTTATTTATAATAGCAAGACTCATACTCACGGTCTTTGCAGTCCACACCACCATAGCCAAATGGACACCTGGAATAGAGTGAGAAACAGGAAGCCCTGTTCAAGAGCCTGTGTGGGGAGCACGCTGGAGTTCCCACCCACATCTCCATTTCTTCCTTTCATTCTGCATTCCTTTGCTCCTTCTCCTTCTCTCATCTTTCTCCCACTCCCATTCTTCCAGGAGAGCACCATCCATGGGGCTCTGGAAGGATGAGTGGCATACAATCCTGTGTGGTCTCACTGGCTGCTGAGGGAACACTCCGTCATCTGAACTGCAGGCAGACTCAGCAATTCAGTTAAAGTTGAACCTAAAAGTTATGGCGTCACCTCGCAAGGGGTGACACCACAGGGTGCTGCCACCTGTTTGCTCCCCTGTGAACAAGGGCATGTCATTTATATTCAGTTTCAGGTCCCTCATCTGAAAATGGGTAACTGATAAGCTTCTGACAGTTGTTATGTGATTGGTACTACCTAGTGTGGTTCCTGGCACCAGGAAATGTCAGCAGCAGCTTCATACCTCCTACCCTACACCAGCTCCCCAACTTCCTGAGTCTAAGCCCATACACGTTGCAAGATCTATCCTCTCTGCCTAACTCCAGCTATGGCAAAGTAAAAATGGAGAGATTTCCCTTACGCTTGACAGACGTCATTAGCATCTCCCTCGAAGTCTGGCAGGCACACGCATTGAAGCTCTTTGTTCTCCTTCTTTATGCATTGCTTATTAAACTCCACACTGCAGTTTGCAGGACACTCTAGAGCTTCAAAACAGAGGGATTTATAGGTAATTTTCAGAAACAATCTCTTTAACCCCAATGTACATGTGACAACACAGATTTTTTTTTCACATTGCTTTTTCTAAGTAAAAGGAAGTATCCCTCGGCTCCCCACACGACAAGCTGCCCACGGGCTGCTTCACCCATTCCCCCACCCTGGCCATAGGTCTAAAGCCCAAATTCACATTACTCAGTCACTGGAATGCACATGGACATTCAAGCAGTAACATTTGTACTTTGCAAACGCAAAAGGTGGGGGGGAATATGAGCATTGTGAAGAACATTTAGAAGTGGGTGGAACACTTACGAAGACAATAAGGGGACAGCATGTTGGGTCTCTGCAGCCCAGGTTTGCATTCACATTGTAAACTATTGCTGCAATCTTGATCCTTCTTCACACAACCATAAAATTCACATGAATCTATAGCTGGGAGAGGCACAAACAATTCAAAAATATATTCAGCAAGATAGTAGATAATTTGTGAAAGCACTCCCTTCCCCCATCGTTGTTGTATTTTTCTTTTAATACATTTTAGGATTCAACAAATGAAAACCTGGGATTCTGAAACCTGGCTCCCCTATCCTCTCTTCATTATTTAGTTTAAGTTAATTCCATCCAAGCAATAAAGCTCAAGTTCAAAATCTCTTCTGCACCTTTCTCTGTGCTAGGTTCCCCCAGAGCCGCTGAAGCCATCTATTAGGCTCCATCTTTATAGAGTCACAGAGTCACATCAAGCAACACACAATTCAGCTCTAGGCTTTGTGGTTCAGACTTCAAAGGCAAGAAGAATTTAGTGGCTCAAATAGCTCAAGATAACAACACAGGGAAGGAGGAAATTGAATAAGTCTTTAAAGATAGGAAGATTTGAACAACCAGGGAGAGGCAAAGTCTGTTTAAATGGAGTAAACAGGCTTGAAAGGGAGCCCAGATTTCTTGTGAGGGAGCAGCGAGCTGTGCTTGTGGTGAGGAGAGGGAGTTTGGAGAGGTGGAAGAAAACCCAGAACTGATGTCTTTGATGTTTATTGGTTGCAGGTTCTCTATTCAATATTTGCTTTGGGGTGAGTCCAAGTTCCCTCCATCTATAAGGGGGATAATAATATTTGTTCCCCCTGATTATGAGGAGAATGGAGTGAGCTAGTGTAAATGACAGTGCCCTTGCCAGGCTCTTCAACAAATCTCATTGTCTTGTTCACTCATAGGTATAGCAGAGTTTGGATGTCAGGTTAAAGACACCCAATTTGATTCTAAAAGCCAAAGAATTCTTTGGTAGATTTTAAGCAGTAGCCTGGCATGAGAAAGCAATCCTTTAAGAATGTTAGCATAGCTGGGGGTGGGGGTGCACACCTGTAATTCTAGCAGCTTGGGAGGCTGAAGCAGGAGGATTGTGAGTTAAAGTCAGCCTCAGCAACTTAGCCTAAGCAACTCAGTGAGACCCTGACTCTAAATAAAATAACAAAAAGGGCTGTGAATGTGGCTCTGCGGTTAAGTGCCCCTGGAGTCAATCCCCAGTACAAAAAAAAAAAAAAAAAAAAAAAAATGTAGGGCATTGCATAGCACATCATGCCCAGCCCTGAAGGCCAGAGGTGGGTGGGCAGGAAGAGTAGTCCTGAAGTGGACTGGCAAGCTTTAGGGATAAAAAGATGAATTTGAGAATGGATTTGGAGGAGAGAATAAATGCAGGTCGAAAAGTGATGTGATTGTTCTCTAAACATCTCAACTGTAACTGACCTTCCTTCCTCAACTGCAACTTGAAAATAACTCCAGTTAAAATCTAGAGAATGAGAATCTACACCTTTGGGCACAGAAGAGACTTTTGCCACTGAGTCTGGACAGCAGGAAAAGTTTTCTTCCTCTTAAGAGTTACGAGGCTCTCACTTCCACATGGCTGGCTGGTTTGTTCTCGAAGCTACCTCGAGATGACACCATTTGGCATTTTGTCAGTGTGTCTAGGAGGGAATGCCTGGTTTCAGAGTGGAAGGAAGTATTGAGAGGGGTTGTCTAAAAAGCAACTTTCAGGGCTGGAGCCAAATGGTTTCAAGTATGTCAGGACTGGTAGCCAACACAATCACTCTGCAAAGCCCAAACAAGAGAACTGCATGGCGACCCCAACATTATCTTGAGGAGCGCACAGGTGTTTTTAGCTTGCAACCACCCTGAGTAGTCAGTATGCATGCTGAAGGGGACCCTCAACTTCTTCACACTTGTTGCAAGTCTCATCTAGTCAAAAGCAGAGTGTGCTAAAGGATCTGATTGCTACTCTTAGCCAAAATCCTAACCCCTACAAAATGATTGGCAGGTAGAAGTGATGGGCCTCTTAGGAGACAAGGACCAAGAGACGGTCAGAGAGAGATGCAAGGGAACAGACAGATGCATACTGTAGTCTTGGAGAGACAGTAAATATTGAAACATTCAGAAAAGAAAAAGGTGCTAATTCCATGGCATGCGATTCTGGAAGAAGAAAATAGTTCAAGAAGGTGAAAAGCTTTGAAAATGTAAATTCTCAACGTGCAAGCTACAAAAAGCTGGGGCTTGCAGGAAGGAGATAATGTAAAAACTAGTGTTATTTTCACAGGAAGCTCTCAAATGAGAAAAAACAAAGTACAGAAAGAGGGTCCCATCACCAAAGATAAAATATTTAAAAATGTGTCAGAGAAAGTTGAGCCTCAGATGACCTCAGGCTTGCCACAAACATAATCCAAAATAAAGCAACAACAAAAAACTCCAATGACAAAATAAGAAGGGTTAAAAGGAAAAGTGAGCAAATAAGTTGAGGGGTGTGTGTGTGCAGTGGGAGGGGTAAGTGGCTTATGGGAAGGCCAGGGCTGACTCATGTATTATTGACAGAAGACATGAAAAAGACAGAATAGCTCCATGACTGTTTTTCTCCGTCTCTTTTGCAAGGAATTATATTTACTTTATTATTTTTTTTTATTTTTTTCCCACAATACCTTTATTCTATTTATTTATTTTTATGTGGTGCTGAGGATTGAACCCAGGGCCTCACACATGCTAGGCAAGTGCTCTACCACTGAGCTACAGCCCCAGTCCCAGAAATTATATTTAGCTGGAAAAAATTGAATGGGTGTTGTTAAAAGGCAATTGGACCCCAAGAAGGAGGTACAGAAAAAGAGCCCCCATATTTTCCAATCAGTTATAAGAATTTTATCACAGAGCATTTATAACTCCAAGCCCTGGGACATTGTGAGAATCATTGTAAAAATCTCGAGGAAAGAGAAAAAGTGTTAGAAAATTATAAATGAGCAGGATTTGTGTTTGCAAAAACAGAAATGAGTTTTACAAACAAACAAGGTCAGGGAGGTTACAATCACTAAAAAAAAGTAAAAGAGTAGGGAATGAATGTTGGAAAAAAAGACAGATGAGTCTGAAGGAGGCAGGAAGGGGGTTGGGAGAATGGTGGGTGGGGGCTCAGGAAGAAGGGGACTAGAAGAAGAGAAGGATGGTGGTGTCAAAGGCTACAAGGAAATTAAATTCACTGTGGCTCAACCAAGGCCTTTGGCAACAGGCCTAAACAGCACTTGTATCTCCACAGGGGCTGGCCCTAATGGTCACTTCCAAGGAGAGGAGTTTCCGATGGCTGCAGGGGTGGGTTGACTGCCTTTCTGACTCTGTGCCCTTCCATGCTGGATTTGGTCATGTGAATTGCTCTGGTCATTAGGACAGTTGTAAATGCAATGTAAGCAGAGACTGGAGAAACACATGTGCACTGAACTATACCCTCTTGCTGCATTAATCCCTGTAGACTAGCCTGCTGGAGGAGGAGAGACCATGTGGAGCAGAGAGGAACCACCCACAGAGCCATCTGAGATCAGCCAGTCTCCAACTGATCCAGTAGCTAAAGGCAGATGCTTAAGCAAGTCTAGCAGAGATCCATCAAGCCTGGCCTAGACCAGCAGAACTTTCCAGTGGAGCCCATATCAAATTCTGACCCACAGAATTATGGAGTTGCAAGAAATAATTGGAGGTATTTTAGGCCAGCCACTAGGTTTTGAAACGGTTGGTGACATGGCAAGTGGGAGTTGTTATAGCTACCCATGCATCAACCTAAGGGGGAAACAGTACAGGTGAAGTTTTCATAACATTTAGAAAACTATAACTTGGCTCAAGCCTTCTTATTCTTTCTCTTCTCATCTTTCCCTGTCCAGAGATGATGTGTCTAGTCATTTATACCTTCCAAGGGAAGAACAAATTTATTGGTCAGTTGATGACTTGGAGATGGTTAGGAAACTGGAGAAGGTAAGTGAGAAGAAGGGAAAGGGCTAAGGTTAGGGTTAGGGACTTGTTAAAAGGAAATTTGGAGACACCTGATGATTCACTTCTATAGTTCTTACCCCCTCCTCACATCTACTGTAATGTAAAGGTTTACCAAAGTGTAAGTAGAACTCTAGGTAAAATTTGAGGGAAATTATTTAATACTTACGCTTATAGCTTTGTGTAAAATTGTTTTTCTTGACTGCCTTCTCAATCTCATCATTTACATCTTTTTCAGTTAGATTTGTACTCTCTTTTAAAATGTTTATTACTGAAGCATCAACAAGCTTCAAATCAGCACGCATTTCAGATCTTCCTGACAGAGAAGGGAGTAAGCTAAAAATGAAACAAATCTGTCAACTTGATGAATTGAGCTGAAGGGTCAACAAACAGGTCTTCTAACTTCCTAGAGGCACAGATCTCCCAGCCCTAGTCCTGACGCACTGTCCAGTCTCCACAGTGGGTCCTCAATATGGAGGCCCAGAGCCACATACCAGAAGACAGCAGATTTGCAGCCTGGAGGTCTGTACGTGTTCAGAGGAAGCCCATGGAAAGAATTATGTCCTCTTGGAGTACACTTAGGAAAATTGTTGATATTCGTTTTTGACAAAATAGTGGACAACCATTTTTAGGATTTAGGAGCCTGGAGCTAACTACAAGTAGAACAAGTAACATCTGAAATAGTAAATTGTCATTTTCGGTAGAACAAGACTACGTCTCTTAAAAGCTAGGTGCAGTGACACACGCCTGTAATCCGGGTACACAGGAATCTGAGACAGAAGGATCACAAGTTCAAAGTCAGCCTGGGCAACTTAGCAAAGCCCTGAGCAACTTAGCAAGACCGAAACTTGCCCCTATCTTTGGTGGCCCAAGGCTAGTCATAATTTCTCTGAGCCTGAGTTTTCTCTTCTATTTCAAAAGAGATTTGAAGGAGAGAAATTCTGAGTATATCCTACTAAGACTAATGTTTGAAGAGTAGTAGAGAGTTTGAGCTGGAGTTTAAGAAATGTCTTCATAGGCAAGACCTATGAAGGCCTGAGCAATGGCTCTGGACCCCTCCATGACCCTGGAATAACAGGGAAAGGTTTGCCTCTTATTGCCCATGGTTCCCTTCTAGTAACTCCTGAAGAATAAAAGGAATGCCACAATTTGGGGGACTCCCCCGCAGATGATCTTATGGGACCCAGTCTCCATGACACTGCAAGGTCCCATTTTTATGAAAAGGAAACAGACCAGTGTTGAAATCAACTATGTGCAAGGAATCTTCCCAATGTTATCTCATTGACTCCTCACCAGGTGCTGGGAGGAGATAGCAAAGGTTAAAACACCTGAGCTGTCATCCATTGAAGAAGTGCTAAGGCCAGGATCAAAGCCTGGGTTTTGCTGATTCAGCTGCCCCTCACCATTCTTGTTTCCAACCAGTCATCCTCTACACAGGAAATGGCTGTCATCCACTAAACCAAGCCTAAAATCCTGGAACAGTTTGTAGTCCTCCAGCCCCAGTCTATTGTATACCTCCAGCTTCAGAACCCTGTGTTTGGGCCCAACCTTTCTGCTCTCTGCCAGCTTCTGACCATGCAAACTCTGTACCTCTGCCTGCCAGTCAGAATTGCCCCCAGGCAAGACCCAGCTCAGAATCTACCATCTTTAGGAAGGCTTCTCTGATTTTTTTTTGGTACCAGGGATTGAACCCAGGGACTCTCAATCACTGAGCCACATCCCCAGCCCTTGTTTGTATTTTATTTAGAGACAGGGTCTCACTGAGTTGCTTAGCACCTTGCCTTTGCTGAGGCTGGCTTTGAACTCATGATCTTCCTGCCTCAGCCTCCAGAGCCACTGAGATTACAAACATGTGCCACCGCACCCAGCTCTCTGAAACTTTTAACACATATACATACCCTCAGTATCTTTGGGGGAATTGCTTCCAGGACCCTTGGAAGGAGTCCCCTGGTGGACACTCAAATCTGAAAGTGCTCAAGTGCCTTATATAAAATGGCCTAGTATTTGGATATAATCTACAGACATCCTCTCATATTCCTTAAATTATCTCTAGATTATTTATAATACCAAATGCAAAGTAAATGCTATGGAAATCACTATTATTCTACATTGTTTATGGAATGATGACAAAGTCAGCGTATGTTCAGTACAGATGCAATTTTTTTTCAAATATTTTCTATTTCCAGATGACTCCTCAAATGTATAATCCACAGATACAGAGGCCCAGCTGTCTATATGTATACTGGCATATTCCACAAAGGATTTGACATAACTCACAGAATAAATACAATTAAAAAACTTTGAACATAAATATTACACTGTGCTTCCTTTTCTGCACAACTTCATTCATCTCAGAGCATTCTTTCCTTGGCCTGACTTCTTGCATATTAATATGCATTAAAGAACACAGGTAGAATTGTTAACTTCCTGAGAATCCTCTGCCTTTTCATGTCCCAAAATAGCACTGAGTATTTGTCATTATTTATTTCAGTGCACAAATAAGTGCTGTTCTTAGAGCAGGAAGAGCTCACTATGGGCCCTTCAGAAGTCAGGTGTGTGATCTGAGTGTTCTTGTCCCCCTCACAACCCCATATGAGAGAGGAGATGACCATGAGCCACTTCTCCCTGCATCCTGGAAAGCACATCCCAGGGACTGACTAAGTATGGTTTGCAGCTGAGGGGATCAGACCAAACAAACTGGTGCCGATGATGCCTGGGACCACATGCTCCAGTTGCTAAGTAGCCATGAGCATCCTCCTTCTCCAGGCCATACCCTGCCTGTCCTGGCCAGAGTCAAAGGCAAGGCGAGGGCTGGGGCTGGGGCTCAGTGGCAGAGCACTTGCCTAGCATGTGTGAGGCACTGGGTTTGATCCTTAGCACGGCATACAAAAATAAATAAAATAAAGGCATGCTGTCCATCTACAACTACAAAAAAACCAAAAAAAAAAAAAAAAAAACGCAGGGGCAATGCACAAAGTCCCCTTCTTGACTTCGACTTGCCACGAGAAGGCCTTAGTGTCACATGAGAAACTCAAGAGAAGACCAAAAGTGAGGCAAACACACACTGCCTCCAAAGCACCCCTTTGGCCCATAGCAAACTTACCTCACTTGAAGAATCACAGTCTGTCCGTAATCAGAGTGGCCAAATACGTTTTGAAACTGTGGCAGAGAACAGATTTAAAAACAAGTTGAAAAAAATTAAATATATATGGTTTATCACAACAAATTATTAATTCTTTGCTTGCTAACAGTAATCTTTGCTATGAAGTAGAAAGAGTCTAATATAACTCAGAGTTACCCAGGAAAAAGATGGAAACCTAAAACACTTAGCCAAATCAATTATCTTACTCTTAAAAATAAGGTGACTTGGTTGGGGTTGTAGCTCAGTAGTAAAGTGATTGCCTAGCATGTGTGTGGCCCTGGGTTTGATCTCCAGAACTGGAAAAAAAAATAAAGGTGACTTATTTTGACTTAAGTTTTGTGTATTCGTTAGTTTTATCTATATATGTGCTTCATGCATTTATCAGTTTATCCAAGGAACATATATTTGCCTCCCTTGCCCAAGGCATTATGCTAGGGGACTTGGAGATGACAAAGATAGGCCCTCTCAGTCTTGTGATCAGGTAGGGGAGCATGCTGTGGAGTTGAGAGAGGCAAGTGCCATAGAGACACCTGGTTTTGTAAGCCTTTCATTCCAAAGAAATCTCTTAATTCCAAAGAAACGCTTGAGAAATTAGTATCTAATATGAAAGAAAATGTGTTTCCTCTTCTTTTTTCCTTCGATGTCATTCTCTGAGGAAGCATCTCCTAACCTGTGGCTGCCAGGTTGGGCAAGAAGACAGGAGCTGTCCACACAGGCCTGCTGGCACCACAGTCAGCAAGTGAGGAGAAGCAGAGGCAGTCCTGTGGGCAGGCAGCTCTGGGTTCAAGTCTCGACCTCCTCCACTAATCAAATGGATGACCTTCAGTCAGTAACTCACCTTTCCTGATCTTCAGTTACCACATCTGTAAAATGGGCATAATAGTACTATCTCCCCTGCAGGGCTGTTTTCAGAATTAGGATCTTGCCTGTAGAATGCAAAAATGGCCCCCCACTGAGAAACCCCAAACCCCTCTGCAGACTGCCCAATTGGTCTGTTTTTTACCCTAACAGGGTAAAAAATAGACCCTAGAAAACTTCTCATGGCCTGATCTGGAACTGTCCCGTAAGTCTATTAAGACAGCCCTGAAGAAGTTAGGTTGTCTCAGTTTTCCTAACTCTGCTCCAGGGGTTTCGAGGGAGTTCCGGCATATCCCTTTTGGATTAAAGATCCCTTTGAAACTATGAGAATGCTCCACCTCTTTACTGGTTCCTCCAGGAATATCCAGCCGAGGCTGAGCTCAAGTCTGTAAACTGATTTGGAAGATCAGGGACAAGCCCTGTAAAGTGGAGAGGGCGTGTGTGACACTCAGACCCAAAGCCAAATCTGGTGAACGTGGTGGCCACAGCAGTAGTGCTCAATAAAGCCACTCGAGGCAATCTGGAGGTTCCCTGGTAGTAGGACCATGATGCTGTTCTCACCTACAATATACGAAGTATCACCTAAGCTGGCAAATTTGGATGCTGATCCAAGATAACAGGGCAAGTCACTGCAAGATGGCCCATCATGCAGATGGAAAGAAGGGGCAGGAGCAAAATTGTGACAGCGAGGCCATGGGTTTTAGCATTGCTAGGTACTGGCTGTGCAGCCTGGAACACTAGCTCTTGCTGCACAACCTGTGGAATCGTTTCAATAATAATTTTTTGTACTTTATCAGTTCTAAAATAATACCAAATCCTTTTGTATTGATATAATTTCAAGTGGAAAGATATTATCATAGAACAAGAATTTAGTCTTCAAGAGTATTTTTCTACTGACCAGGTTGTGGTGGTACCTGCCGGTCATTCCAGAGACTAGGGAGGCTGAGGCAGGAGAATCACAAATTTGAGGCCAGCCTCAGCAATAATAATAATAATAATAATAATAATAATAATAATAATCCTGCCTCAAAATAAAACATTTTTGTTTTGTTTTGGGCTGGGAATGTAACTCAATGGTAAAATGCCCCCACTTTCAATCCCCAATAACAAAACAAAACAAAACAAAACAAAATTAAAGTTTTTTTTTTCTTTTTCCCCAACTAGAGACCTAAGAAATACTTAAGGCTGGTATTATTCCCTTTAAAATTAAACTTTGAGAAATATTGGTGAGATGTTGCCTGCAAGTTCTTCCTAGCCTAACACATATGATTCCAGAATAGAGATTCCCGCTCTCTCCATGCCCACACCCTACACATAAGAATCTACCTGAAAAGAAACTGATTCATTTCAATATTTTTGACAATGGAAAGAAAATATAACACTTATAAATTCAGATGTAATCCCTCCTATAGTTTTTTTTAAAAGCCAGACTAGTACAGAAATACATGCAAATTTGAATGTGAAAAGCAAAGAAAAAAAAATCTTTAATTTTTTTTCTCTCCATGATGTGGAAATTTTATTTTATTTTTTTCAGTGCTAGACATTGAACCTAGGGTCTCATATATGCTAAGCAGGTATTACTCAGCTACAATCCCAGTCCAAAATGATTATTTCTTTATGCATTTTTAAATTATTTATAGTACTGGAGATTAAAACCAAGGCCTTTCTCATGCTAGGAAAGTGCTCTACCACTAAGATACATCCCAGCCCACTCTGAAATAATTTATTTTAAGACGCCACTATATTTTCTGTCCATTTAAAACTATGGCAGGAGCAGGCTTCCCTAGACCCTCTGCCTTGTTAGCTGCTCTGCCTCTAGGTACAAGCCCAGCAGGGAGGTCCCAGGGCCTCAGGAAGGGGATCTGAGCAAGAGGGCAGTGGTAGTAGCTGCCCACCAACCAGGAGGGGTATGTTTCACTATTTAACAACTGACAAAACTGTCCCAGTGTGTCCCACATGAAGACCAGTCCCACATTCTATAGCTCAGCGTGAGAACAAAGAACACTTCTACAGAAAGGACTTACAGAAAATACTTACGAAGCTAATTATGTCATCATGTAAGTGTTCATAGGCTTCAGAATTCTTATTGTCCAAATCAGTTGTTTCTTGGACTCGTACTGTAATCTCTCCAGGGAATGTCTTCCCTGAAAATCAAGCAGAATCTTTCTGTACTATTTAACACAAAGAGAGCCATTTCCATTTTGTTATAAAACACTGATTATTATTATTTTAATTGTTAACATTACATGATTACACTACAGGAAGACTAGAAGTATTTTTTTAAAATTACTCATCATACCCCCTAACCTAGCTTGGCCATTTTCATTTGGTATATTTCTTACCCCCTCCACCCCTCAAGGTTTACATGGTTATAATACGAAGTTTATAACATACCTCACTGTTTTACTCATTATTACATCAACAAGTTTTTCAAATCATTTCCTCATCTTCATAACTACCATTTTTAAAGTCTACATAACATTCTATAAAATATATGTCCCCTTTGCTGATGTGGTCATTTGTGGTGGTGGTTATTGGACTTGACACTTTTCATTGTGTAAAGGGCAGGGGGATGGTTGCAATGGACATCTTTATGCATAAGCCTTTTCTGGAGTCATTTACGTAGAGCAGATTCCCAGAAATGAAATTCTTAGTGCTAAAAATATGGATTTTGTTTGGCTTTTGGCATATCCCTAACTCCTGTGGGCAATACAATGCATTCATTTCCTATATAATGGTCTGATGTGGCAAAATGTTATATTTCTCATTTATTAAACAGAAAAAAAATGTGTATTTCAGACAGACAGGCCTTGAGCCTCAGAGCAACCAGGTCATCTAACCAGAAACATATGAAGGTAAGAGTATATTGTTGTGTCCTCAAAAGTTAATTTCCAGAGCTAGAAGGCTGTTACACTCTAATAGGGGGCTTTGCTATCAAGGAACAGGCAGATCCTGTGCCAGAAAACTGAGCCACAGTCACAGACCAAGCCATGTCACCTTTTTCTGCTGTCCCCATGTTGTAATAGGACTTTGTAGACTAATACTTCATAGTTGTGTGGTCTTTCAGTAGTTTTCCAGGGGCTTCAACAGTTATCACTTCATTTTGTCGCCACAAAAGTTTCCCTCCAATGGCAGATGGCACCCCTGACCCTTAGGCCTACCTCGCAAATCTGACCTGGTCCCTCTCCTCTCCTATTGAGTCACTCAGGACAAAGGAGACCCTTTCCCTATTTGTCTGGCCTTGGTTGCCTCCAATTCTCTTCTGCCTCTCATATTCTGGAGCCTCTCTGTTTGCCATGGTTTTGAGTTTTCTATTCCACTTTAGGTAGGAGATGGAGCCCTGCCCTGGCACATCCTGGCCACTCACCTTTCAGACATGAGGAAGTGCTGTAGTAAAACCCTTCCGTACACAGGCAGAAATTGTTGTCATACAGGTTAACGCAGGCAGCACCACCTCCACAGGGTCTTACTTGGCAAGGATCGCTGGAAACTTAGATGGAAGAAAGACATTAGAAGTCCACAGAAATGACAGCAAATAACATTTAGAAACACAGAGGTCAATCCTCATGCCTCCCTCCTGGGTGGTTTCCATTCCCGGGCTGTGTGACTCCACAGCACACTCTTAAGAGAGCTAGAAACCAATGCAGCTTTCTGTCTCTGGGGAGTTTGGTGCTGAAATTTGAGGCCAAGAGCTTATCGATGGCAAAGATTACAGGTTGGTGGACAAAGGCCTGCTTGAGGAAGAAAGAGAAATCGATAGAGCCTTCTAATTCCCAGGAGTTGGGAATCTTCAGATTTCCAGGACCCTCCAAAACCTCAGTACCTAGTTCTCTAATGCTAAGTCAGGCCCCCCAAAACCATTTGGATAAAGGGTCATTTTTTTTTTTTTTTTTTTTTTTTTTTTAGGATGGCGTGAATAATTGCTTTGTAGGGAGGGAACACTCAAGAAGCTCCAAAAAGGAACTAGATGTCCTAGTCTGGCTACCATGCCTGGTGTACATATTCATGAGGAAAGGAATGAGATAGTAAAGGAGGAAACGTGGATGAACCCAGGGGACAGTCTAAGGGAGGTGGTGAGGGGACACTCCAGCCTCTGGCTTTCTGAGTGGATGCCTTGAAAAATGGTGAGAATTATATTGCAATGGCTTCTGTGCCAGTGGACAAGACTCCTGGGCCAGGCAGGGTACAGTGTCTTCCTTCTTTCCAAAGAATTGATGAGATCTGAGGAGGGAATTTCAGTGAGTGGCCAAATGTTGATCTTGGTTGGCCAGCTTCTTCACTTCCATCAGGAAGAATTCTGAATTTTGATATCAGGATAGCTTAAGTGTTTGATACCCTTTGGAGACAGCTTGAGATTCTTAAAAACCTATGGTAGATAGGCTAGTTTGTTTTTAAAAAAGCTATACACAGTTATGTGTGTGTGTGTGTGTGTGTGTGTATGTATATAATGTGTTATGTGAAACATACTTTCTTTTGTGATTAAAAAGGGGACCCAAACACACAAATATATATGCTTTGTATTTGCATAGATTATTTATGGAGGAAGACACAAGAAAGTGGCCACTGAGGGCTTAGAGGTTTAGGATAGAAGGGAGATTTTATTTTTATTGCACATATTTTGCCCTGTTGGAGCTGCCTTTTTGATAATCATGATCCTAACTTACTTTATTAAAAAAAATAGACAGCTGGGCACAGTGGTATAGGCCTGTAATCCCAGCAATTTAGGAGGCTGAGGCAAGAGGATCACAATTTGAAGGCCAGCCTAGGACTGGGGATGGTAGAGCACTCCTAGGTTCAATCCCCAGTACCAATAAATAAATAAATAAAATTTAAAAATTAAATGGCTTCCCAGTGTAGCTCAATGGTAGAACACTTGCCTAGCATGCCTGGGACCCTGGGGTTTGATCCTTCAGATGGCAAAAAGTAAATAAATAATTAAATAATAAATCAAACAACTCTGGTGAGAACGTGGAGTTCTCACCAAGAACAAGAACTCTCATTCTTTGTCAAAGGAAGTGTAAAATGTCAGCTACTTTGGAAGACAATTTGGCAGTTTCTTGCAAAACTAAACATGCTCAACATATGATTGAACAATCATGCTCCTTGGTATTTACCTAAAGGAGTTAGAAACATGCTCACACAAAACCCTGCACATAGATGTTGACAGCAGCTTTTGATTCATGATTACCAAAACTTGGAAGCAACTGAGATGTCCTGTAGTAGGTAAAGGGATTAAACTGTGGTGCATCCAGGCACTAGATCACTATTCAGCACTAAAAAGAAATAAGCTATTGAGCCATGAAAAGACAGAGGACATGCATGTTACCAAGTGAAAGAGAGTACAGAGGACTTTCAGGGCAGTGAAATTACTCTATATGATATTCTAATGATGGACAGCTGTCATTAAACATTTATCCAGACCCATAAATGCACTAATGTAAACTACGGTCTTTCTTAATGATGTGTCAATGTAGGGCCACTATTGTAACCAATGTACCCCTTTGGTGGGCAATGTTGATAACACACATACGTAGGGGCAGGGGGTATGTGGGAGACCTCCATGCCTTCCTCTCAATTTTGCTATGAATCTAAAATTGCTCTGAAAATAAAATCTAATTTTTTAAAGGGAGAAGAAAAAATATAGGCTATATGGGACAAAAGGAGGCACATTCATTACCCCATAAACAAGAGTAATCATCTCCCCTGTAATAAGAATTGGGTGTGAGGGCGCATGTCTATAATCCTGGTGCCTTGGGAGGCTGAGGCAGGAAGATCAAAAGTTCAAAGCCAGCCTCAGCAACTTAGTGAGGCCCTAAGCAACTTAGCAAGACCCTGTCTCTAAATAAATCATTAAAAAAAGAAAGGGGGTGAAGGCTGGAGATGTGGCTCAGCAGTTAAGCACCCCTGGGTTCAATCCCTGGTACAAAAAAAAAAAAAAAAAAGCATGAACCAGTATTCTAAGTAAAGTAAATGGCTTTAAAAAAAAAAAAAGCCTCAGACAAATTTCAAGGAGAATTTGGAAAGTCCTAGGGAAGAAATTGAGTGCAGTTCCTTTCTGGAGATACCAGACAAGTCATTCTTGGTGTGCTTTCTCTGCAACAATGAAGGACAGGCTTGTTAGCTTGTTCTGTAGTCAGGAATTGATTAAGTCACAGGATATTACAGCTGGAAGGGATTTTGGTGACAATTTAGTTTGGTCACACCTTATTACAAATGAATACCAAGAGAGACATGATTTGCCCCATATGCCACACTTTGTGGTGGGCCAGGACACAGAAAACTGCCTTCATCTGAGAGGATGTTTGGGGAAGCAGAACAGCTCAGAGATGCTCCCTTTCCTGATTCTACTAGAGCTGATGGTGTAGCTGTGAGCCACCTGCAGACTTTAGAATGACCCCTCCAAGTGTAAGAAATCTGAGAATAGTCTAGATATAGGATCTGGACTTTCTTTGCTTAATCACCCATTTCTTAGCTTTACCAACAAATACTGGGAAAGCCATCAGAAATATGTGTAGAGAAAGAGGCACCTGCTTCTAATACCAGCAACTTGGGAGGCTAAGGCAACAGGATTACAAGTTCAAGGTCATCCTGGGCCATTTGGTGAGAACCTGCTGAAAAAAGGAGGGGGGTGGTGAAGAGGACAAAGAGGAAGGGAGAGGAGAAAAAGATGCTTAGGAAGACACCAGCTTGATCTTTGACCTTGGACAAGTCACTGGTCCTCAGATTCACTATCTGAGGAGGACATGGTTTATCTAGACTCTTCAAGTTCTAAAGTAAGAGGATTCTTCTAAATCAGGGGTTGGCAAACTATGGCTCATGAACCACATCTGACCAATCTGACCAATGCTCTGGTTTTACAAGCACAGTGTTATTGGAAAATAGCTAAGCTCATTCATTTATGTGTTGACTATGTCTGATTTCATGTTAAAAAGTGTAGCAGTTGCAACAGAGACTACATAGGCCACAAAGCCTGAAATAGTTTCTATTGGGCTTTTGCTGCTTAAGTTTCTGGCACCTGTTCTAGACCAAGCTTGGGGAAATGAGACAGGTGATTTCTGTTTCAATAACTTCAGGTTAAAGTCAGTTGTCATTTTTCAGTATCCCCCAAAACATGTTGTTTGGACAATTGTCTGGTCATGCCTAGGACTGTCTGAGCACTGCTGTTCTTTGGCTTCTCATTCTTCAGGTTTAAATTCTGTGGCTTGGTTCAATTTCCAAATTGTGATTAGCAAGGACCTGAAGTCAGGGTAGCACTGACTTGGTCCTTAGGTAGACAATAAGGCTGGAAGCCAGTGCTTATTTGAACCTGGGCTTCTCAGAGAAGCCTGAAATTGTGTCCAAAAATTTCCCAGAGTATCTTTCACAAAGATCAAGTTCATAAAAAATATTCTACATCTGGCAAATAGCTTGAGGTAGGATGAGCAGGAAGAAAAGAACAGGATGGAACTGAGGCAATGTATTAGGGTCTCTGCCTACTAGCTCTTGTGACTGAGGTTTTAAGTGCATGGTTCATATGCAAAGAAACTTAATGTCTTTATGCCTATTTCCCTCTCTCACCAGCACACACTTAACTACCATGCTCCACAACTGTTATGTGCCCTCAGAGAGGAGTCACTGAGGGGGCACTCTTACCAACGTTTGGGAGTACTGGTCTCTGATGAAGAAAGGGTACCTACCGCTGGAATTCACTTGTGGTGTAGGTGTAGAACCAGTGTTGGGGGGTGCTTCTGTCGCGTTGGTGGAGGGCCCTTCTGTCGAGTTGGTGGAGGGCGCTTCTGTCGCGTTGGTGGAGGGCCCTTCTGTCGCGTTGGTGGAGGGCCCTTCTGTCGCGTTGGTGGAGGGCGCTTCGGTCGCGTTGGTGGAGGGCGCTTCGGTCGCGTTGGTGGAGGGCGCTTCGGTCGCGTTGGTGGAGGGCCCTTCTGTCGCGTTGGTGGAGGGCGCTTCGGTCGCGTTGGTGGAGGGCGCTTCGGTCGCGTTGGTGGAGGGCGCTTCTGTCGCGTTGGTGGAGGGCGCTTCGGTCGCGTTGGTGGAGGGCCCTTCTGTCGCGTTGGTGGAGGGCGCTTCGGTCGCGTTGGTGGAGGGCCCTTCTGTCGCGTTGGTGGAGGGCGCTTCGGTCGCGTTGGTGGAGGGCGCTTCGGTCGCGTTGGTGGAGGGCGCTTCGGTCGCGTTGGTGGAGGGCACTTCTGTTGCGTTGGTGGAGGGCACTATGGAAGAACTGTTTGCTATAGCTGTGAATAAAGAGACAAAGGTGCCAAGTTTCAGAAGTCAGCACATTAAATAAATAAGGGCACTTACTATTACTTAGTACTAATTAGTACTCAACTTTCTCTTTTCTGGAAAAACTAATAAAGATGAGTATATTGAAAATAGAAACACACGGGCTGGGGATGTGGCTCAAGTGGTAGCATGCTCGCCAGCCATGCGTGAGGCACTGGGTTCGATCCTCAGCACCACATAAAGATAAATAAATGAAATAAAGATATTGTATTCAACTACAACTGAAAAATAAATATTTTTATTAAGAAAAAGAAAATAGAAACACAGGACTAATTCTAAAGAGAAAATAAAGTTAAACAGTCAAAACTGGAAATGTTATTGGAAAATATAACAAAGATTTAATGTTTATTAAAATGAGAAGTATCCAAGAAGTAATATCTTTTAAGCCTATAACGCAAAGCTGTCAACCTGGGTTTTAATATTTTTGACAATTCTCAGTGAAGATAATTGAAGATGCCACAAGGTGGCGCTGTTACAACCCCCTCTGACGGCCCTAGCCGCGCAGGCCGGGCGCCTCTGCCGGCTCTGTCCGGGCCACGGAAAGTTAAGTTTGAAGAGAGGGGATGAGGGGAACATGGACTTGAAGAGGAGGATCCACCTGGAGCTGAAGAAACCTGTTCGGGAACTTGTCTTGGACAATTGCAAATCAAATGATGGAAAAATTGAGGGCTTAACTGCTGAATTTGTGAACTTGGAGTTCCTCAGTTGAATAAATGTAGGCTTGATTTCAGTTTCAAATCTCCCAAAGCTACCTAAATTGAAAAAGCTTGAGCTCAGTGACAATAGAATCTATGGAGGTCTGGATATATTAGCAGAAAAACTTCCAAATGTCACACATCGAAACTGAAGTGGAAATAAACTGAAAGACATCAGCACTTTGGAACCTTTGAAACAGTTGGATTGTCTGAAGAGCCTGGATCTGTTGAACTGTGAAGCCACTGATCTTCACAGAGAGTGTGTTCAGGCTCCTGCCCCAGCTGACCTCCCTGGACGGCTGTGATGGAGAAGATTCCCCCCACTCAGATGCCGAGGTGGATGGTGTGGATGAAGAGGAGGAGGATGAAGAAGGAGAAGATGAGGATGGTGAGGAGGAAGAGTTTGATGAAGAAGAAGATGAAGATGTAGAAGGGGAAGACAATTAAAATGAAGTCAGCAGGGAGGAAGAAGAATTTGGGCATGATGGAGAAGTAGATGAAGATGAAGAAGAGGAGGAAGAAAGCAGGAAAAGTGAAAAGAGGAAGAGAGAAACAGATGATGAAGGAGAAGATGATGAAGACCCCAGATAAACTGCAAAAACAGAACTGTTCAGTATTGGTTGGACTGCTCATGGATTTGATAGCTGTTTTAAAAAAAAAGGTAGCTGTGATACAAACCCCAGGACGCCCACCCACCCAAAGAGCCAAAGAATAGTTCCTGTGACATTCCGCCTTCCTCCTTTCAGTCCCTCTTGGTAATCCATCACCAAGCTTGAGGACTTTGCCCCAACAAAATTGTAAGCATTGTTAGGTTTTTTGTGTAAGACTCTTGCTGTAGCATGGATAACTGTGATTGGTGAGTCAACCATCCGTGGCTACCAGTTACACCGAGATTGTAACAGCATTTTTACTTTCTGTACACAAAAAAGCTTTGTAAATAAAATCTTAACATCTTGGGAAAAAAAAGAAAAGAAAAGAAAAAGTATGCCCTGATCTGGCTCTTCCTAGAGAATATTTCACAACCACCACCATCCAGGGAACATCCGCTTCTCTATTCTAAGCTCACTGTAGTTCACAATAAAATGCCTTTCTTACAAATCTAAATCCTTCAATATTTTATTTTTATTTTTTAGTTGTAGTTGGACATAATACCTTTATTTTGTTTATGTTTATGTGGCACTGAGGATCAAACCCAGGGCCTTGCATGTGCTAGGCGAGTACTCTACCACTGAGCTCACAACCCCAGCCCCTAAATCCTTCAATATTAAGAAATGTTGGTTCCCAAAGTTACTAATCAGATGCTGTGAAATAAAGCAGCCCTTATCACTCGAAGAAAGCAAAAACAACCTGGAAAGTTTTGCCTGTAAAGGGACTTTGAATATTCTCTGCACATCTCTTCATCTTTACAGTCCATTCTTATGAAGGGGTTACTGCGGGAAAAGTCTATGCAAGGAACTGGGGCTGGGGAGAATGGGAAAGTGCAAGAGGCACTTCCTGCCCTTGGTTGTTAGGACTCTGAGATGGAACTCATGTTTGAAATAATAATTCCTTCCACATCTGCCAAATCCTTAATATTTCCTAGAAAAAGAAGCTTTTTGCCCCTTTTCCTCCCCACAAGAAACAAACCGTCGTAATCACCAAAACTATCAATAGTAGTCTTCTGGGTTTGAGTTTCTAGAATCGGGACAGATAGATAGAAGGGCAGGTCAGATGTTCACTTTTTATTTCATACACATCTGTATTGTCTGAATTTGTTACATGGGTCTGCATTACTTGTATAACTTAAAAAAAGAAAAGCAAAAACAAAACCAAAGTTTAAAAATTGGATATGAGGGCAGGCATAACAGAAAGCATCCAGTGAGCTTACTATGTGCCCTGCAGGTCACACACCTTTCTCATTTACCTGCCCCAGTCACTCTTCAGGACAGGGAGATCTCCTCTATTACTCCATAGGGAGGATCTGAGGCTCAGGCACCCCAGAGCTCATTAGCAGCTCATGGTGTTTGGATAACTGCCCTCACTCTGGAGCACACGATCCGCTGAGCTCTGAGCCCTTCCCCAGGGCTCTGTGAGCCAAGAAAAGTCTTCTCCATGTTTTCCCCACCCCACCCTACCCTGCTCCAGAAGGGACCTTGAGAATGAGTAACTCCTGATTCTCTGATCTCTAGCCATTTCCCCACCCCTCTCAGCCAAATTTCCCATCCTATCCACCCATCCTTTCTTATATTTTACATAATATGTCAAGCCTCCTTTAGCAGTGGCTCACGAAACTCATACAGACCTCACCAGTTCTTACTGGACCTGAAGGTTTGGTTATGACAGCTGTCTCCAGGGTTGACAGGCAGATCTGGTGAGGCCTGCCCCTCCTCTGAGAATAGTTTTCCCCACCTTCCTCCTATTAGCAGGGGGAACATCTTAGAAAATCAAATCCTGACATTGTCGCTCCAGTTCTCTAAAGCAGATTCAATTTCTTTTCATCTTTCTGACGTATCAACACGACATCTCTTTCTGCAAGCAAACTCAAGCTGTTAAACCCTCACCTCTCAGACACACAGGTGGCCTTCCCTGCCACTGGCCCCCAGGGAGCCCTTCCAAACTCAGAAGAGAAGCACCTGTCTGCAGTCTAATCAATGTTGCAATTGCTCCTTGTGGTTTAGTACACACAAAGACCTTGGTGAAAGGAGGGCTTTTTCCTGTGGCTGTCCCTCTTATATTCAGAGGACAGATCCAGAATGCTACGGCAGACCACTGGGCCCAGGAAGACGACCGAGTCATTCTTATTTAGTCTCAGACAAATCTCTGATCCTCAAAGTCCTAGTTCATAGACGGTTTGCTGCAGCTCTCTCTGTCTTGCCCCTTGGAGACTAAAATGCCTGCATCTTTGAGCTGAGTCAGACAGGAAAACCTACTGGATTCTATCCCATGATGACAAACATGTTGGAAGAATTACAATTTAAAAAAAACAAAACAAAACATTTCTTACCCAAGCTGATGAAAAGGAGAGCGAGAAAAGCCAGAGACATGGAGGCTTTCATTTTAGCTGCTCTTGCCTGGTAATCCAAGGAGGAAATGATTCCTCTCCTGAACTACCTTGGGTTTTAACTCTCTTTCAGGTGCAAAGTCCAGTCATTAACTGACGTCAGAGGCTATTGGCCGTCAGGATTCGGTCATATATCACAGGGCTCTTCCCAGCTTTTGAGATACACTGGGGGAACCTGGCCTCATGGATTACTTTTCTAAGTCAGAGTTCAAAATAAGTCAGGATATTTCAAAATCTATTTCAAAGTTGTTAAAAGGTCCATGGTAGGTGAATTTGCTTAAATTCTTTATATCCCCAAATATCCCTACGCTACCACCTTTTCGGATTGAATCCAGGGGCACTCAGCCACTGAGCCACATCCTCAGTCCTTTTTATATTTTATTTTGAGATAGGGTCTCGCAAAATTGTTTAGGGACTCACTAAATTGCTGAGGCTATCCTCAAACCTGCCATCCTCCTGCCGCAGCCTCCTGTGTCACTGGGATTACAGGTGTGTGCCATTGCACCAGGCAAGGACACCATTCTTTAAACACTCAATAACATAGTCACTCCCATTGTGTTCCAAAAAGAAGAGCAAACACAAAATCAAAGTTTAAAAATTGGATATGAGGGCAGGCATAACAGAAAGAATCCAGTGAGCTTACTATGTGCCCTGCAGGTCACACACCTTTCTCAGTCATTTTGAGATTTTCTCCAGGGGTAGTCTTGAGAATCTCTGAGAAACTTCTCCAAACTGTCACTTGGCTTTTGTTCCCTTTCACTGTGGACCATTGGCACTATGCCTCTCTAATGATCAGTTTTTAGCAACTTTATAATTACATCTCCAAGCTTCCATGGCTCTCATGTTGTTTATCTGCCTGGACACAGGCTCCAAACCATGTTCCCAAATGCTGTTCACATCAAATTGCAGCATTTAATCTCATTTTACTGAAGGCTTGTGGGTGACAGCCAAGGAAGGGAAAATACAGTGCCATCAAGGAGGAGAACTGGGACAGACTGTTTGACCTCCCCGCTCCTGTGGTGGGGTTACCCCTGGTTCCCTCACCCGTCCCCTTCTTCCTCAGCCCCTGGCCTCTTACTGTGTTTCAGGAACCAGCTTTTTCACTTGCCTTAAATCCAGTGCTCTGTCCTTAAGAGGCCCCAACACTCCCAATGCCCAGCCCCAGCCAGAGCCAGAGGAATAGAAACTAAAAACACCTTGTGGATTCCAGTTTGAGTTTTAACTCTGACTTTAGATTTTAAAAATTAGATTACTGCCCAGCAGGTTAGCTCCTTATTGTCCCAAAAGTCTCCATTCAAAAACAGGATTGGGTGGCTGGGGTTGTGGCTCAGGGTAGAGCACTTGCCTAACACATGTGAAGCACTGAGTTCGATCCTCAGTACCACATTTAAAAATAAATAAATAAAATTATTGTGTCCATTTATAACCAAAAATATTTGCTTAAAAATCGGATTGGGGGCTGGGGATATGGCTCAAGTGGTAGCGCGCTAGCCTGGCATGCGCAAGGCACTGGGTTCGATCCTCTGCACCACATAAAAATAAAATAAAGATGTTGTGTTCACCTAAAACATAAAAATAAATATTAAAAAAAAACAGATTGGGTTTTGTTCTCTTAGGGCTGAAAGGTCCCTTTAAATATTTTTGTTCTTTTAAAGCCCATGATGTGACATCAAACATTCTCAACATGAGTGACTTCTGGCACCAGGATTTAAACTGATGCCTATGTTGATGTTACTGGGGTGCTCTACCACTAAACCTGGGGATGCTACTTCTCCAGCCTTTATTTATTTAAAAAATTTTATTCTGAAACAGGGTCTCACTAAGTTACCCAGGCTTTCTTTGAACTTAAAATCCTCCTTCCTTATCTCCCCAAATACCTGAGATTATAGGTGTGTGCCACACCAAAGACCTGTTGTTATTATTATTATTATTATTTCTTTTCTTTATAAACTAACTTATTGAGATATCATTTATAACCATAGACTACCCGGTTAAAGTGTACAGTACAGTGGGTTTTGTTGGGTTGATATACTCAGATATGAAACTACCTCACAACCAAGATGCATTCCCATCACATCTGAAGGTGTCTTCTTGCCCCTTTGCAGTCTATCCCTTTCCCAACCCCATCCCCAGACAACCACTGATTCACTTAGTCTCTGTAGATTAGTTTGTATTTTCTAGAATTTTATATAAATAGATTCATACAGTTGTTCTGGGTTTGGTTTGGTTTGATTTTGTTAGTCTGGCTTCTTTTTCTCAATGTAATCATTTTGAGATTCATCCATGTGGTAGTTTCTTACTTCTGAATAGTATTCCATCGTATGGAATGTACTATAGTTTATTTATCAATTCCTCTGTTGATGGATATTTGGGTAGTTTTCTACGTTGATCGATAAAACGGTTATGAGTGTTCGTGAATAAGATTTTATGTGGGCATATGCGTTCATTTCTCTTGGGTAAATATTTTGAGTGGAATGGCTGCATCATATTATAGGTTTGTGTTTACCTTTTTAATCAACTGTCAAACTGTTTTCCTAGTTTGTTGTACCCTTTACATTTTCATCAGCAGTATATGAGATTTCCAGTTGTTTCTAATCCTTGCCAACACTTTGTGTCATTAGTCTTTATAATATCAGCCACTTTACGTGGTGTGTACTGGCATCTCACTCTGGTTTTAATTTCTATCTCCTGATGGCAAAGGATTTGAGCATCTTTTCACATGCTTAGGAGACTCTCAACTCTCTTCTTTTGTTCCGTATGTATTCCAATGGTTTGCCCATTTTTAGATTGAATTGATTCTCTTGGTTTTGAGTTGTAAGAGTTCTTTATATAAGAGTTGCAATTATTTCTCCTTTCTATTATTTTTACAGGGAATTTTCAACCTACTACTTTTACTTTATAAAAGTTTAACCAGGAACCTAGGAAAACTGAATGTAGACTAATGTCACATAATTAGCATAGGATCTCAAATGGAGGGTCTCAATCCTATCTCCTAAGCCAGCAAGAGCCTATTGCAATTTTCCTGTCTTCAGTTTAGTTATCAGGGGAGACATGCTCACTGTACTCTATGACCAGCTTCTGCAAATGTCACCATATTACATCAATGCCAAAGTCTACCATGGCTGTCTATACCACTTCTCTGCTGGGCATAGGACAATATAACCAGGAAGGAATGGAGGACTCCAAAACATCTGGATCCCTGACTCTTTCCTGGCCTTACCTGGAAAAGTATGAGCAACAAGAATGTCAAGCAGTCCTGAAAGTATGAACCAGCAACCAGTCTTTCTTATGTCACCTCCTAACTCAACCCACACCAGACTTCAACATTCCATAATCAGAGGTGAGTTCAGAGCTTCTCTCTAGGGGCAATACATCTTCCCCATTGCTGGTGCTTCGTGGTGGAGGGAGCTCAGCCTGGCCACAATCCTGCTTCTTGATATGTCTTCATGCATTTTAGCCTACATGAGGAGTAGAGAGTTGTTTCAGAACAATAAACTCACCTTAGATCCTGAATATTCCTGTGGTTCATGCCCGGGAAGACAAGATTCAGAATTTAAAAGTCCTAAGCCACATTCTTCAAAATAAACTCCTTAATAATATACTAAAACGATAGGTTACCTCATATCCCTTGTCTTCTCACATGATTCAAAACCTGCACAGGAAAAAGAGGTTATATTTATTAGCATAACTCAGCTACAATATTCACCTGTAAATTAAGAGTATAGATTCTATTTTTCTATAGATACTTTGCATAATTGCCTGTTCACCAGAGAACTATTCTTCACGGGTATTTTATGGATGATTCTATCAACTATGAAAAGGAATGGGGTATATCCATTAATCTAAATCAGTGCCTAATTGTACAGATTGTATAATCTTTTTTGTTATAAAGAGAGCTATAGCAAAGCCATTTAGGATTGGAGTTTGGGGATTCTAGGAAGGCCCAATAGAGATGTCCAGCCCTCACCTCCTCCTCCGTAATGAAGAATCAAAGCAACAGGTGGATAGAGGCATTTTGAGGTAAGCGACTATGACAGAATGCTAGAACTCAGCAAGGGAGAGACTGGAACCTTATAGGATTGGAATTGGATCTGTCAAGAGCCCCTTTTTAGCTTCTTTGGTTCTGTAACACCACAGTACCTTGATAAGGTTCTGGAGGATTATGACCCACCTAAAATAACCAAGCCCATAGAATTTTTTTCTTTTTCTATAGAATCAAGCGCTGTAATAGATTTTAAGCCCTTATTTGATTCTAATATTAGCCCCTTGGTAGAGGCATATGTATAGTCTTCCCACTTTCACAATTATTAATTGTCAATATCAGATTTAGATAATAAATGAAACTGATGAGCATTTGCCTCTCTAATTCAGGAAGCCATTCCCAGAGACAGGGTTTGTGAAACAAAGCAATATTCTCAATTTAAACGTTTAATCAATGATGCTTTGATTAAAACCATTCCCAACCCTTGCATTCCCATCTACTGAGATTAACTTTGTGGCTCTTGATTACCCTGCATGAATAAAGTTCAGGTGGCTGGTCAGTTGACACCCGATGCTCTAGGCATCTCCACACCAGATGAAGCCGTGAGCTGGACGGTGATATCTCTACTCTCCTGGTGCTTCCATGAGCTGATGGATAATAGGGGTCAGCAGAAAACAAACAATGAAATAAAATTATTTTGGAGAGTGATAAATGCTATAAGGGAAATAAAACACAATAATGGGATAGTGACTTGTGGGGTTGGAGACGCTACTTTAAATAGGATGGCCAGCAGAACTTTCTTGCAGGAGCTGATATCTGAACTAGGCCTGATATGGAAAAGAAGGTTCTATCAGGAGAAGGGCATTCCAGGCAAAGAGAAGGGTGAGGGCATAGGCCCCAGGCTGAAACAAATCTGGCGAGTTTGAGGAGCACCCTAATTTACAAGGAGATTGGGAGGAGGTGATGTCAGAGAGGCAGATGGGAGCCTTATCCCAGGGTCTTACAGGCAGCTGACAGGAGTGTGGGTTTCAT